GCTCTCGCAGAGTAATGTGCGCGGCGCGCGGCGCAACAGGGCGCGGTCGGCCCCGCCATGGCCAGCCCATGGGCAGCCCATGCGCCTGCCGGCGGCGCGGTGGAGGCCAGCCCGGGCCAGCCGGGGCGGAGGAGGCCAGGGCTGTTGGGGTGAAGGATCACTTGAGATAAAGTTCCGATAAAGTTAAATGAGGCGGCAACGGGCCGGCGCCTCCACTCGCCTCCACTCGCCTCGACCACATAGGCCTGCCCGGAATGAAACGATCCGAGCGCCTCCCCCACCCCCGCCTCCCCGCCGCGGTGGTGGACAGACGTCCCTATCTCAGGAGGGCCCCGCCGAGGGCAGAGGGCGGCAAGGACCGGACCGGCCAGCCGACCGGCCGGCCGGGATGCAGGTGACTGCTGGAGGCGCTGGAAGACCCCGACAAGCTTCATGGACCGAATCGGTAGTCAACAATTAATTCCGACCCCGGGACGGGGACGGGGACTCTGGCAGAGGGCGCTCCAGACACCTGCTTCGGAGCGCACCCCGCGCATCCCCCGCCGTCTTCTGAGCGCGGCCGGGGGATCGGCTTCGACGGCGGCCAGCCTCGGCCGGGCGATAGGCCGTCGAGGCCGAACGGCCGATAAATTATCATTTGCCTCCCTTTTCATTACCTGCCAGGCTAAAAGCCGCCGCCGCGGTGCGCGCTGCGCACTCTCTTTATAGCCCATAGACGCCTTGCATCGGGGCGGGGGATCGCCTCGTGTTCGAGTCCAGGCCGGCCACGGGGTCGGCGAGGGTGGCCGGCGCCACCGCCACCACGCCGACGAGCCGATGGACGGCCAGGGCCTCGGCCGGCAGCTCTGTCTCTCTCGCACCCGCACGGGACGCCCCATGAGTGCGAGGGAGACAGCGCGACGAGAACGACTCTGCAGGGCTGTGGCGGTGCTGTGGCGGTCAAGGCGGCAAAGGAGAGCCCCGGCCATCGGGGCGGGGAAAGGAAAGGCAGAGGAAAGGACCCAAAGGGCCGGCAGGGACTCTGGGAAGGAGAAGGGAAGGCTTTGTCGGCCGCCACGCCGCGGGCACGCCGCGGGCCATCCGGCCGTTCGCAAGGTGGCCCTCCAATGGCGGCGCAGCTGTCGGCAGCTGTCGGAGTGTCGCGGCAGCTGAGGCCGCCGAAAGGGTGTCTCTCTCGCACTCATGGGGCGTCCCGTGTAGGTGCGAGAGGGACAGGGCGACCAAAACGACTCTCGGAATCAGTCTGCAGCAAGGAGAGTCACAATGTTGCCGCGGCGGGCGTGGTGACCAACCGCCGCCCCAGTCTCCGCATTCATCTGCCAGAGGTACTTGTAGCTGCAAGGAGGAAGCGAGCGTGGACCCACGGGTCGTCTCCGTCCAAGCCGCCTGAAAGGCAGGCCAAGCGCCGCACTTCGCCTCTGTGAGTAGGCGACTTTTGCGCCCACGTCTATTCCCGTGCGCCGTCTTGCGGCGTCTTGCCGTGCTGCGCGGCGTCTCGGCCTGCTCGGCGTGCTGCCCTTAATTAACTGGGCTGTTTGATCGGACCGTCCGGGCCGCCACGGCAACGCCACGGCCGGCAACCGCGGAGTGGCTCGACAGTAATCCTTACATGTGATTACACGGCGGGGCGGGGCGGGGGCTGCAGGGGCTTGCTCGAAGGGTCGTGCGGAACAGTAGACTGCTTGCTTCGCCACGCGTCCCCCACTTTGTGGACTGTCGTTTGAGGTTCAGGCCTTCCAGCCCCGCGGGCCCCGCCCCGCCCCGCCCCGCCCCGCCCCGCCCCGCCCCGCCACGGCCCGGCCCAGACGACCCTGCCGGCCCCGGGGCTGCGGCGGGTCCGGCCGGCCCGGATGTTCTACAAGGCATTTGCGTGTATCAAACCGAACCCCGTGCGAAGCAGTGCAAGAGGGCCGCACGGCCGCACCTCCCGGACACGGAGACCCTCGCGGGGGTGTTGAGGCGAGGCGGCCAAATGTGTGTGTGTCTGTGTGGGCGTGTGTGTGTGTCGGGGTGTGCCACTTGCCGGTATCGACACGGCATTAGTCGAGGCTGGGTCGGAGCCCCCGTCTCAGCGCCAGCGGCCCCGTGCCGCCCCGTGCAGGACGCGGCAATAACTCTTTGGCTCCGCCTTGGACCCCTCGACGGGGACCCTCGACGGGGACCCTCGGCGGGAACCCTCGTGCCGAATCGCAGGCGGAGTGGCGCCGAACCAAACAGCTAACCCTGCGTAATTATGCCGTGACACTCGCGGTGGGGCCCGTGCGGGGCCGAGCGGGGCCGAGGACGGCCGGCCGTGCCACACAGTGTGCCACACCGAGGATAGCCTCAGCTCCTTGCCGATAGCCCCCCGGCGATAGTTTCATCTGGCGCTATATATATACAAGCCTGTCGGAGCTGCTTGGACCACAAAGGCCAACTTACTCGCCAAAGGCAGCCCCCCACTCCCCACTCCGCGCCCGGCTCTGAGACGCCCCTATCCCTGTCCCTCCCCGGCCGTTTTTCGGCGGAGGAATCTATGCGGCGCGCCTACAGGCGCTGCTAGTGTGAGGCTGCGCAGCGCCGAGCCGCGGACTGACTGCTCCGGAGCGCGCTAGCGCGCTTCAGCGCCTGGAGCGCAGGCAAACCCTCGCACGCCTGTCTAACGGGCTGGCCCATGCTGCAGGCGCCCAGCCGAGCGGGTTGCCTATGCTCGACTCTGCGGGCGCCTGGAACCCGTAACGGAGTAGAGCTTCCCGCTCACTGTAGCGTTACTTTATCGACTGTCGTTCGTTCAGAGAGAGTAAGTGTCCTGGTGCCATGCCTCCTTGGACACCTCTTTTTACCCAGCGTTCTCTCTTTTTGTTTTTGTACCTTTTGGATCTTCTTCTCTTTCATTGTCTTTGTTGAGTTCGGGAGGAAGTTGACAAGTAATAATACACAGTTTTAAGATGTACTATGTTTTATTTAACACACTGAATGGGATAATCATGAAATGATTTATTACAATTATTTGGAACGATTCCGTTCTTTATCACAGTTAAAAATTTGATTGGCAAATGAGCCTCTGAAATGTAGATACAAAGATTAATAATAATAATAATATAATAATAATAATGATAATAATAATAATAATTAGGTAACCGTCATAGACATGACATTTATTTTAACCAACAATAATGAACGAGATAAAAAGGGACATATAGAACCTATTTTCAATATACAGTATTTTGAAAAATAAACAAACAAAATAGCAAAAATTACAATAAACAAAATTTAATGAACAAATTGGTGAAAGCGATGGGAAATGACATAATAGAATGAGTTCTACAAAAATGCGATATGGTACATCTAATCATTACTATCAGTGATTACCTTTAATAGTATTGAATAATTTAACAACATTCACAGTATTTATACTTATATTAACACAACTATCATTTTCCTTCGTTGATTGCACTAAGGTGGGAGAATAGCTTGGAAATGGGGAACAAAGACCGAGGGAAAAAAAGTGACAGGGCAATTCAAATAGGGGACATTATGTACAAGTTGCCGACTGTCTGTCTTGGGGGAGCGGTCTACTTGCAGGTACTTCCTGATATCTCTTATCACACTCCCTGTCTCTGCCATAAATAAAATTAGGCATCTACAGTTGGGCTACTAGGTATCAGACACGATACCAAAACATTAACACTTGAGGAAGGTGGTAATGATGTATAAAAGGTTTTCACAACAAAAACATAATGATAGTATATCTATATATATTTGTTACAGTCAAAATCTCGAGTACAGGACTACTCCACACGTGGCCCATTCATGTGAATTCAATATTCCATAAACTCACCATGAACTAGTCAATGCAAAGAGAGCTCTGATTCCAGTAAATTAACTGCAACATTCATAAATTCAAGATTGGAAGTACTCTTCATTTTGTCTTGTTTAGAACAAAGACTTTTCATTTTCCATTCGTTTGGCTCACCACTTCAGTATCTACATCCCTGCTTCTCATCATTTGGCAGAGTATCATCTACTAAACAGATATCAGTCGTCAGGAAGACAGCCAGCAGGAGGAAGAACTCACCGACAAACTAATTACGAGAGACCAATAGTCAGAAATGACTCAATAAACAAAACAACTATCTTGAAAACAAGAACTTTTTTAACAAAAATAAAAAAAAAAAATAATTATACAACAGGTGCAGTTGTATTTAGAATACAACCGCTAATTACTTTTTCTTTGTACACTCTTCCACTTACATACACCCACCATGTGTCACACGAGTTCACATGTTGAGTTGCTTCCAAGAGTTGAAACATACGTACAGGGAAAATGTACTATTTGGTCTTTGTACATTAAAAATTATCTAACACACGTGCCAATTGCACAAGGTCACAGCTTCATCGCCGGGCGCCGGTTGAGATTTCGCCGAAACGTTCAAAAAACAACCAAGTGCCACTTTGTTCCGGCTTTCCAATCACATGCATCCCCCCTGCAGGCCAAGCTTTGCTTCAAGCCACAGAGGGTGATGGAGTCACTCACACAAAATCTATAAACTAGTATCATTACTATCAACTCCACTGACATCCACGCAACTAAACACAGACACACACAACAGCGCTTCTGATATGACATGTTCTTTTTGAGCTTAGTGCTCGTTTTCAGCGGATGCACAGCAGAAAACGTGCATTTCAAACAAAAAAAATTTTTGGTTTTGTACGATTTCCAACACAATATCAATCCTCCACTTAGTCTTTGAAATTGTGATGCAGTATTGGAAGATCAAGTCAGTTCCCTAGTCTAGAATACTAGGTTGCAATAATTACAATAATGAAAATAAATTACACCCTCCAAGGTCTTCCGTCTTCCATTGATACGTACAGTAACTACGATTTGGTACATTGAGATACATGTGCGAAGACTGGCAAGGCACGCATGTCCGCGTACACATCAGCCATGGCGGTAAGCTTGTACGCAGACATGCATGCCATCAATAGGAGGTAACACACAGCGTAAACTATAGTCAGGCTCAGCAATCAAAATGTCGAGGGAAAAAAAAGAAAAAAAAAAAGGGATTGAAACCTACAATTTAGGTTGCAGCTTCCCATCTCAACAATGGTGAGATATGCAACGGCCTTTCCGCAAACACCTGAATTACCATCACAGACCCTACAAACAAATTAAGTATACAATTAAATATTTTATAAATACTTTAAAATAAAACAAAAAACACTTTTTTCTAAATTGTTCTGGGCGTTCACAGTGGTTTTGACTACTAGACCTAGCTGAGTGCCGGGTCGACGTCCGTGTGGACGTCCGTGTGGACGGGCGAGGAGGTGGGTGACGGCCTCCCGTCCCTGTCCTCGTCCGCCCCGTCGTCCCCGAGGCCGTGCCGCCTCTCCTGGGGCTCGTGGTCGTCCTGGCTGCCCTGCGAGGGCGACCGTCGGCCGCCGGGGTGGCTATCCACGTCCATGTCCTCGGCGTCGTCCTCGGCGTCGTCCCTCTGCAGCAGAGGCGACCCACGAGGCGAGGAGGAGGCCGCCGCGTTGTTCCTGGGCGACATGGCGTCGTCGCTGTCGTCGTCGTGCTCCGCGTTGTAGCGCTCCGCGTCCAGGACGGCGGTGGGCTCGACGCGCACCGTCTCCTCCTGCGAGGACCGGTTCGGCAGCTTGTAGTCGTCGGTCTGCATCACGCACACGCCGTTGATGATGACCTCCTTGTCCTTAGCCTCCTGCCAGTCGGGGTTGACCCACTGGGGCGCGGCGGGCTTGCGTCGCGAGCTGGAGGACCGTGGCGGCCCGGAGGGCGCCGACAGGGCCGACCCCGCCAGCCCCGCCAGCCCGGCCAGCCCCGCCAGCCCCGCCACCAGGGCCGCGTCCGGCTTGAGCGGCGTGCGCCGCGACATGTCGGACGCAGAGTCCTCGGAGCCCGGGTTGGAGATGGCGTCGTCCTCGTCGTCGTCGCTCTCGCGCTTGATGGACAGGTCCAGCCCGTTGAAGTCCTTGGGCTCGGGGCCAGCCAGCCCGGCGAAGCCCGCGGCGGCCGCGGCCGGCAGCAGCCCCCTCGAGATGAGCGCGGCCAGGTTGGCGTTGCCCGCGAAGTAGGGCGGGTAGGGCAGCGGCAGGCCCGCGCCCACGCCGCCCAGGCGCTCCTTCTGCAGCTCCACCAGGCGCTGGTTCAGCAGCATCCTGAAGCGCACCGGGTCGAACGACTGGCTGCTGGGGGATGACTGCTCGCGCGGGCTGGGCGACGCGGGGCTGTGCGGCACCTGCTGCTTGAGCCGCATGCGGTGGTTGTGGAACCAGTTGGTGATGGTGCGCGACGACAGCTGCAGCTCGTTGGCCAGGAACTCGATGGTGCCCACGTTGGGGTACGAGTCCAGGGCGAAGGCCAAGCGCAGGGCCTCCTTCTGCTCCTCGCTGAAGAGCACGCGCTGCTTCTTGGCCGGCGGGCCGGGCGACGTCGAGTGGTAGAACTCGCTCGTGTCGTTGGAGGACGTGTCGCTCGAGTTGTCGCCCGGCGTGGAGGACGCGGCCGAGTTGTTGACGCCCGAGCCGCGGCGCCGCTTGGACGCCTCGCGCCTCTCGTTGCGCAGCGCCTGCAGCCGGTCGATGTTGAGCGGGTCGGACAGCCACAGCTGCATGCGGATGAAGGGCTCGCGGCCCTTGATGCTCAGCATGTGCCACGGCTTGGGCTTGGACAGCAGCTCCGACACGGAGCCCTGCGACAGGCCCAGTACCACCTCGCCGAAGATCTGCGGGAGGACAAGGGACGTTAGCGACTGGCAGTGGACAGCACGCGACGGGGGCACCGTCAGGACCCGGACTTACCTTCTGGCCGATGTTGTTGGCGAGGAGCGTCTCCTTGATCTTGGTGGTGATGGTCTGCGTGTCGAGGTCCGACGTGAGCGCGGCCATCTCGTACACGGAGGGCGCCAGGTGGGGCTGCAGGCCGCGGAGCTGCGACGGCGAGGGTCCGCGGTGCTGGTCTCCACCCGCCGCGGCCCGCTGCTGCTCGGCCAGGCGTTCCCGCTGCTCCCGGTCCCGCTCGCGGTGCTCGCGGAGCTCTCGCTCCCGCTGCTCCCTCTGCTCGCGCTCCCGCTGCTGCTGCTCGCGTTGCTGCTCCCGCTGCTGCTCGCGCTGCTGCGGCGTGGTGGTGCGCGGCGGGCCGTCGTGGGGAAGGTGGTGGCCGCCGAGGCGCGGGTGCGAGGGCGGCGACCCGAGGAGCGGCGGCGGCGGCGGCGCCAGCGCCTGCCCAGGGTGGTGCGGGTGGCCGGGGTGGCCGCCGTGGGGGTGGACGCCGTGGTGGGCGCCGGGGTGCGCGGCCATGTGCTGCAGCAGCGCCGCCTTGGAGTGCGCGTGCTGGTCGCTCAGCCTGCTCAGCATGTCCTCGGGCAGGTTGGCCAGGCGCGAGGCGGCGGGGTGCGACCGCGACGATGGGATCGCTGCAAGCACAAGCACGCTGTTAGGCTGGAGGCGAGTCAAGGCATCGACAGGCAGGACGGCGCGTCACTGGCGCGTCACTCGTCAACCCGCCACAAAGGCATCGCGTCGTAAATCCGAGGCGCTTTGCCGCGGATGGGACGCTGGGACGCCACGGCCCGGGGCGGCGCGACACGACACGGCGCGGCGCGGTGGCGACGCGAGGACATCAACGGCGCATTGTTTCCGTGATATATCGCGGCGCGCCGGGATGCGCGAGACGCGATGGCGATAGGGCAAATAATATTCCGAGCAGTAGCGCGACAACAACAAGACCAGCAACAACAATGGGCGACGGCGCGCACAGCGCCCCGGGGCGCAAAGGTGCGGAGCGCGGAGCTGATCCATTGACTGCCGGTTTGCCATCGCCGCGTGAGACAAATATAAAGTGGCGAAAAAACGCGGCGGAGGCTGGCTGGCAGGCGGGCACTGCCAGGCACTGCCAGGCAGGCGCGGTCTGCTGCACGTGGATGCATTGTCGCCGAGCCATTAATTGATTGCACGTGCTTCTGTTCGCGGGCAGACGGCGGGCTGCGCGCTGCGCGGCTACCGCCCGTGGCAAGCGTGTCGTAACCCGGGAGGGGGAGGGGGTGGGGGAGGGGGCGCGCTGTCCGGACGGTCCGGACGACCGGCTGCGTTTGGCACTTACGTGGGTTGACGCCGTATCCCCCGGTGCGCATCAGCTTCTCGGGGGCGATCTTGTACTGCGAGGCGACCAGCTTGTGGACGGCGTTGTCGTCCTCCAGGAACATCTTCATGCGGATGAAGGGCTCGCGGCCCTTCTGGGTCAGCATGTGCCAGGGCTTGGGCCGCGCCAGCAGGTCGGACACCGAGCCCTGCGACAGCCCCAGCACGTTCTCGCCGAACAGGCGCTGGCTGATCGAGTACTGCGACAGGGACTCCTTGACCTGCAACACGTCACGTCCGGGCTCGTGAGGGGCTTGCCGCGGGGCGCAGAAAGACGACAGGAAAGACGAAGGAAGGAAAGGCGAAACGTGAACTCACTATTTGACGTACCTTTCGCACAATTTCTTCCGTGTTGAGGTTGTTGAACTGGTCGAACTGCTGCTGCGTGATGGGCGGCAGCACGGCCTTGAGGGGCCGCGGGCTCTGCGTCGTGTGCGACGGCGCGGACGCCTGCTGCGAGATGAGGCTGTTGGTGATGGAGGCCATCCTCTGCAGCGGCGACACGGCCGCGGTGCCCGACATGTCAGCGCCGGCTTGGTCTGGTGGCAGAATCGAGTTGCTCAGAGGCGATGCCGTGGCTGCACCTATGAGGACAGCCAAGAAAAACAACATGCAGTTTGCTGTTCTCGCCAGGCAGCCTCACCATCATCCTCATCGCGTTAGTGTACTCACCACCGTCCTTGGGCCTGACGAGCGAGAAGGCGCTGCTGCCGACGAGCGGCCTCAGGGCTTCGGCCGTGGCCTCGGCCATCTCCTTCTTGAGGCGCTCGGCGGTGCTGCCGGCCTCGGACGCCACGCTGGAGCCGCGCTCCGAACCCGCGCCGCGGTCGCCGGCCTCGGACCCCCGGTCGCCGCGCTCGTCCCTGTCGCTGCCGTTCAGCTCCCGGTCTCGGCTGTTCCGGCTCTCCTTGGGCCTCTCCTTGGGCAGAGAAAGATCCTGTGCTTCACCGTTCCGCAGTTGCTCTCGGTGCTCTTGGTGCTGTTGTTGCTGCTGCTGCTGTTGCTGCTGCTGCAAGGGAGAGGAAAGGAAGGTTGCGGTCAGTGTGGCGTAGGTCAGTTAGGCGCTGTCCAGAGCCTCACAACCCCAAGCACCGAGTGGCACCGAGTGGCACGGAGCACGGCGCGCTTGGCCGCGCCCCTGGCCGCGCCTTGGCTGCGCCGGGGAGGTGCTGGAGGTGGACGTGCGGGAGGAGAGGGTGGGAGGGGCGGGAGGGAGCAGAGCAACAGGAGCAAACCGCGACGAGCAGCGTCCACTTGAACTTACCATGGCGTGCGCCTGCTGGGCGAGGGCCTGCTGCTGCAGGGCCAGCAGTCCGGGCAGGCCGACGGGCGGCGGCAGCCCCTCCATGCCGGGGGCCATGTTGAGCTTGGCCAGCTCGCGGTGGTAGGTGTCGAGCGCCAGGCGGATGTCGTCCTGGGAGCGCGCGGCCAGCGGCAGCCCGCCCGCGCCGCCCTCCATGAAGTGCGGGAACAGCAGGCCGGGGAAGGGCGGCTGGTCGCCGGGCCGGGCGCCGGGCAGGTTGCCCAGGTTGGCCGCGCCGCCGCGCATGCTCTCCTCCAGGCGCCGGCCCATGATCTTGGCCAGCTCCTCCTGGTAGATGCGCACCACCTTCTCCTGCGGGATGTCGTCGTTCTCATACTTGCGCACCTTCCGGCTCGGCGAGCCGTCCTTAGGGTTCATCGGGGACGCGTTCTGCATCAAGACCACGGAGGGTGGCTGGTCAGACTGAGTTCGACTGGCCGGCGCCCCCTTGAGTCTCCTCCGGCATGCCGCGGCAGGGAGAAGTCTCAAGGAGCAAGGCCGGCCCGACGGCGGCGGAGTATCGGGACAGTTTTTACTTCAAGTGCTCGGACGCAGTGGTCGACACTCACCTCGCCCCGGTTGTCGGCCGGCGACCGAGAGTCCTCGTTGGAGCGCAGCTCGTCCGGGTTGTGGACGCGCATCAGCTGCGACGCCTCGCTCAGGATGTGCGCGATCCTCTCCTCCGTCATGTCCTGCGTCTCGCTGGCGATGAAGGGCGGCAGGCTGGCTTCCTTGCCTGTGGCGGGGAGAAGGGCGAGGTTAGGGCAAGAGTCCCAGGCAGGTGGATCAAACTGACGCAGAGACTGTCGTTTCATTAGTTCGTTCATTCATTCATTCATTCATTCATTCATTCATTCATTCATTCATTCATTCATTCATTCATTCATTCATTCATTCGGAAGAGGGCCGCGATATCATTCCCTAATCACGGGCGCGGAGTTGGCCCTAGCGCGCCGAGCGGGGCGCTGCCGGGCCAGGGCCGGGCCAGGGCCCGCACCCTGGGCCTGGGGGTACGCCAACTCCAGAACACACACAAGCGATAACGTCCACGAGTCGGGCCTGGCAGGCCTGGAGTTGAAAGTCTAAGCCGCACTCCACTCCGGTGATGCCCAATATGAATGCTTGTTGGTCGAGTTGTTGTATCAGACTGTTTAGGGGCGAGGGGCGGGGGCAGGGGAGATTACCCAGCGACCCGTATACCGCTGCACACACACAGACTCACACACGCCGCTATCGCGCTGGACCGGGGCGGACTGACCGGCAGGGGGCGGGGAGGCGGCGGGGGCGGCGGCGTCGCGTGCCGAACACGGATCGCCCTGCGTGATCGTCCCCCGCCCCGCCCCCGCCCCGCCCCGCCCCCGCCCCGCGCCACGCCCCCACGCGTACGGCGCGCCCAAGTTGAGCGTTCATTAATTCCTGATAAGCCCCAACGCGCTCACAGCCTGTACGTCGTGCCATCCCCTCAAGTACACAACGCGCGCGCACACACAGACACACACACACACGCGCGCTCGCTCTCTCCACGGTCACCGCGCCGCGGCGTGGCGTGGCGGGGCGGGCCGGGGCGCGCGCCTTCCGAACTATTCGACCTACATTAGCGGCGCAAACGGCTGTGGAACAATGGCGATAACCCGGGCCGGCGCCTTCGCCGTGCTTCGCCGTACTCCGCCGTCAGCGAGCGTGCAAAAAGAGACGAGGGGCGGGGCCGCCCCCCTGCGCCGCCAATCCTCGCCGTTTTCACGGCCAACTAGGCCCCGCGGCCGACCAGGGCCCTCGGCGTCGAGTCGCCCTTCCGGTGGCACTGCCCCCGAACGGGCCGAACCCTCCGGGACCTGCGGGGTGACCCCGGCCGCGACCAGTCGCGACCCCGGGCACAAATCTCGGCCCCGGGGGCTTTGGGGCTGGCGGGGCTGGCGGCCTTTGGGGCCTCGCGAGGGGAGGAGGGTGCCGACCGGCGGAGCCATGGCGTAGCCCCGCCCACGGCGAGGCCCCAAACAGGTAGAACTGCGTGCGGGGCTGCGGGCCGGTCCATTCACACTACCCTCCTCTCAGCGGGATAATTATCAGCGATTAGGAATCCTAATCAATGGCAAGTTGGGGCCAAAGTGCCCGCGGCCCGCAGCGCCGCGCCAGCCTGGCGAGGCTCAGTGATTCTCACCTCGGCGCCGCCAGGCCACGCCGTCGGCCAGGCCGTCGCCGAGCGCTGCAGCTACAACGGCGCAGCCCCTCGGAAGAGGAGAGACTCTTTCGTTTCTCAAACTTGGGCCGGGGACACAATGAATGCCTGCGCGCGGAAGACGGGCCAGCTGCACAACAAACTACCCCATTTGTTTTGCTTCAGGCAAAAAACAAAAGTAAGACAGAGTCGGCGGACAAAAGAAAGGGCGCCGAGTGGCCCGGCAGCCCGGCGGCAAGTTTGCAAATGATCAGCGCGCAGTCTCCAATGAGGATAGCAAAGGCTGTGCGGTGAGACAGAGAGGCAAAGAGGGGCGCGCCGACAAATATTTATTAATTTAACTCCGGCAGGGGAGAGAACAAGGAGACGCGCGGGGGAAAAAAATCATCACAATTAAAGAAAGCGAAAGAAAGGAAAGGTCGCGTCTTTCGCCGAGAGCGGCCGCGTCGCGTTTTGTCGTCCAATCAGATAGCGCGCCGGATGGCGGTCGGCGCACCCTTTGGCCCTGCGGGCTGATTCCGAGGGTCGCTTTCGTCGCTCTGTCTCTCTCGCACTCACAGCGTGCCTCGCATAGGTGCGAGAGAGACAGAGCGACGACTCTCGGAATCAGTGTGCTGGAGACTGCCGAGCTGGCCGTCGAGGCCCCGACGCAGGAGGCCACCCTTTGGCGGCGCGCGGCTACGCGGCTCGCTGCGCGGGGGGCGGCCCGTTGTCGACACTAACTAGGCGCACCGAGCCGCCGTCGCCGTCGTGTGTGAGGGGGGGCAACGAGTTGCACTGTCTTGAGCAATTAAAAGTAATTAACAGACGAAAAGCATTAAAATCCGGCCCGCCCCGCCGCCACATTTTGTGTCACGAGAATCCTTCGCGCCTCGGGATGGGCGTCGCAGCGTCGTCGCGACGCAGGCGCGGAGGAGGCGAGGCCGACGCCATCTCGGTCGTGCGGTTGCTAGCCTGCCAGCCTGCGGACTGATTCCGAGAGTCGTTTTCGTCGCTCTGTCTCTCTCGCACTCACGGGGCTGCTCCCCATAGGTGCGAGAGAGACAGAGCGACGAAAGCGACTCTCGGCATCAGTCTGCCGCCAGCCAAAACGAGTGCGGCGCTGAGCTAACTCGCCGTGGCGTGGGGTGCCGTGGCGGCAGCAGATATGGATAATTGTGGCATGAAGTGTAAGCGGGCGGCCGCGCGCCGCGCCGCGCCTTGCCAGCGTTCGCGGAGATCTAGATTCATCGCTGGCGCCGCTGCGCTGCTGGCAAACGACTGGCAAACGCCTGGCATGCTCACTTTTATTTTGCGTCTGGCGGTGCGGTGCGGTGCACGCCGCCATTCTATAGGCATTGTTCACCGAAGACTCCGCGGGCTCAGCGATTTGTAGCGCGTCGCGTCGCGTCGCCGGGGGGCTCGGCTCGTCTCGACGGCCACCTCGACGGCTCCCCCACACGCGCCTTGACACGGATAGAGGGCGGCCCGCGGAAGCCGGCCGTGGCCGTCGTGGCCGCCGTGGCGGCGGGCAACCCTTCGGACGGGCGGGGAGGGCCTGGGGCGGGGCGGGGCGGGGCGGGGTAACGGTTAGTCGAAACTGAGGCGCGTCTGCTGTTAGGCCACGCTTAGGCGTTTCGCTTAGGCGTTTCTCTTTTTAAAACCTCGAGCGAGTCGTTAGTGCGGTGATGAGTAGTGAGTGGTTAGGAAAGCGGTTAGAGCCCTGAGCACCGCGGCGCACCGCCATGCCGGCCCGGCCGGCTAACTTGTCGTGATGCATTGACCACACACACACACGCACGCACACACAGACGCGCGCGGGGTGGCCCGGACAGGACACGAAGACACACGGCGCGCGGCGCGCGATGAGAGAGGCCAATTATGTTGCTTTATGATTTCATAATTAGAAACAATACTCGCCACTTTTAACGACTCTACGGCTTTGTGCGGGACGATTCCTTCGCGAGCGGCGGGGCTCGCTGAGGCTCGGCAGCGCCAACGATATTGCCCGCGTCCACTCGCAGTAAACTCTTTCATTTTTTTTTCGAAACCCCCCCTTTTCAGATTTTTTCCGCTAGCCGCGCGCGTGTGCCGGCCTGCCGGGGCCTGCCGGGAAATGACTCGTTGAGACGGACTTTGGGCACGCCACGACTTTGGCAAACACTCTAAGTCTGCAAAGGGCTTTACTTGGGACGGGCCGATTTCATCCTATCTGACGGACGCTCCGAAAAAAAGTCAAAGGGTTGCGTAATTAGCAACGAAATAATAATAATAATACTGCGGGGCTCGGGAAATTATAAATTGGATCTGCTATATAACATATAGAAAGTTTCCTCGACGACAAAGGAGGAAAGAGAAAAAGAAGCGGAGAAAAACAAGACGCTAAGCCGAGGGGAAAGGGGGGGGGGGAGCCAAAAAAGGGTTGAAACTTTTCGCCGAGTTCCAGCACATCGATTTTATGAAATATGTGGGATGGAATGAGAAAGAGACAAGGGCCCTTCGGAGCGTTCAAGGGGCTGGGCCTTGCGGCTCGCGGGCCTCGCGCTGGGCGCGCTGGGCCAGCAGACTGATTCAGTTTGTCTCTCTCGCACCTACACCGGTCGGCGCTCGAGTGCGAGAGAGACGGAGCGACGAAAACGACGCTCGGAATGAGTCTGCAGGCGGGGCTTCGAGTGGCGGAGCAATCGGCGCGGGACTTGCAATTGGAATCCAGCGTCGGAAGCACGCCCAGTGTTTAGCACTTCCCCCGCGATCGATCCATCCACGCACACACAGACACACACAATCGGAACTACAAAAGTCTAACTATAGTCTACTATTCTACAAACGCCCGACCAGAAGTCTAAACTCCCACAAAATCAACGACACGTAGTAACTCCGCGCGAATTGGTGAGCATTAGGGGCAGGGTCGCCAGATTATTGACAGGGCACAGTAGTTAGATGAAGCCAATGTTAGCGAGCAGTCCCTTTTGACAAAAACGAAACGGCGTTACTGGTCATGCACTTTGTGGAGTTTACACGCGTGGGCTGGCTGCCAGTGTGTCGTACTTACACTTACCCTTCTTGGGGATGAGGCTCTTGAGCAGCATGACGGAGTGCTCGTCGCAGGCCCAGGCGTGCATCTTGCGGTACGAGTCGCGACCCTTCTCCGTCAGCTTGTCCCAGGGCTTGGGCTTGGACAGCAGCTCGCTGACGGTGCCCTGGGACAGCCCCAGGACGTACTTGGCGAACAGGCGCTGCCCGATGTTGTGGATGGACAGCAGTTCGCGCACGCGGCGCGCGATGTTGAGCGTGTCGAGGTTCTGGTTGGCGTACTTGTCCATGTTGTAGCGCAGCATCTCCTGCAGGCGCGCCTCCATGGGGTCGCCCTTGGGGATGAGCGACTCGCCCAGGCGCCCCATCATGACGCCGTTGGGCGTCAGGCTGCGGTCCTCGGAGAAGCGGAACGGCGACCGCTGCTCGTCGAAGCGGAAGGGGCTCTTGAGGGCGTCCGAGTCGCGCAGCAGGTTGCTGAGGCTGTGCGCGGCGTGGTGGCCGGGCAGGGGCACGCCGGGCACGGGGCCCATGAACAGCCCGTTGTGCGGGCCCAGCAGCCCCGGCGCCGACAGGAGGTTGTTGTTGCTGCTCAGCGTGTTGTTGTTGCTGCACAGGCCGCCCTCCTCGGACGGGCTCTTGGGCGAGCCGTTGACGAGCAGGTGCGGCGGCAGGGGCGCGTGGGGGGCGTGCGGCGACGACGCGGGCGTCGTGGTGGTCGTGTTGTGCACGGGCGTGCTGGCGGACGGCGTCGACCTGGGGGGCGCGGGTGAGGCGGACCGCGCCGACCCGGGCCGGCTGCTGGCCAGCGAGGCGCGCTCTTCGTCGGGCGCCGCGTCGTCCGCCAAGTCCGCCGACGGCGTGGTCGTCCCCTTGGACTCATCTGCAGAAGGAGAGGGCTGGCTTAGTGCCTGCGGGGCCTGCGTCTGCTGCTGCGGGGGCCCCGTGGCGCCGGGCGTGGCGCCGGGCGTGGCCCCGCCCCCCAGCCCCGGCCCGCCCGGCCCCAGGCTCAGGATGGTCCGCTCCAGCGACCGCCGCCAGTCGGACACAATCTCCTGGCCGAGCAGGGAGCCGAACGTCTCCACGTTCTGGAGCGCGGAGGGCGGCAAGGGCAAGGCGGGGAGGGGGAGGAGGTGGTTCAGTTCCTTAAGAGTTTGGCCTGCGGAGCCTGTGGACAAGTAACGGCCCGGCACGTCTTAGGCCCGTCTCAGCCAACCCACACCCCACCACACCCAAACACGTCAATGGTCACCAGGCACTGCCAAAGCCGAGAAGCGAACAGACATGAAAAGCAGTTTGGTTTTTAATTCCGCCGGTTTTAAAACAGTCGCTTCGTCAGTTGTTGTTTCATGATTAATTAAAATGATTATTATTGAGCAGAGTCAAAGCGAGCACGGAGCATGCATGTGAGGATGGAAGGGGTGTGAGGACTTCCATGCTAGGGACGGAAGTGTCGGCGAGAGACACAAACAGGGCCAGGGGTTGGGTGGGGTAACCGCGGGAGGAAGAAAGAGAGAACGAAAACCAAATCCCCCGCGCGGCCTATAGCCTAGGACACGATGCGAACTGCGAACCCGAATCTTAATTAAAGCCTCTCGGCCCTTTTCCTCCGCCGGCCGCCTCGCCGCCGTCACGTCGTCACGTCGTCTGCGGCCGCGTCACCTCGTCACGCCGCCAAATTAACGTCACATAACGCGACAGGGCGTGTGGCCGCGTGCGAATCGCCGTCGCTCTGTCTCTCTCGCACTCGCCGGGGCGTCCCGGTGAGTGCGAGAGAGACAGAGCGACAATACGATCCTTTGGAATCAGGTGGCAGGCAGTCCCTGCGGGTGGCGGGCGGCGCCCTCTCGGAGGCGGCCGCTTCGGCGTTACGATGCCGTGCCGCGCCGCGCCGCGCCGATCCGACCCGCGGTGTCGCTTAATTGCCCTCAAGTCGCGCCGCGAGTGGCGCGCCGTGCTGCCGCGAGAGGCGCCGTATCGCCGCGCCGGCCCGATGCCGCCCGATGTCTGTCCTTTCGACAGCACCCCGCAGCCGGCGGCGTAACCGCCGGGTCACGTGACCAACTTTACGCCCCGAGTGCGCGGGCTGCGCGGAGTGCGCGGGCGGGCGGCGGGTGGCGCAACCCAGCGTCATTTCGTTTGCAAACGACGCCGGCGCGGCGGCGCAGTCGCGGTGTTCGAGCCCCCCCCCCTTCCCCTCCCCCTCAATACGGTTCGCACTCGTGTCGGCTCAAGACGAAGACAAGGACCAACAAAACGGGCATTGTAAACCAAGTAGATAAAACGACAAGGAGGGCAGAGGTGGACGGCAACAACAAAAACAAAAGACTCGTGGTGGGTACAGTAACAACAACAACAACATCGCGGAACCCCTGACAAGAGCGCGCTAACTTGACGTGTATTTCTTTTGAGATTTTTGAAGTTCTGATTCGTAAGCGGCTAGAGATAAGGGTGTGCATTGGATAACTAAAATTAAAACCTTTTTTTAAAAATTCGAGTTATCTTGTACATAATTTCTTTTTAAACTCTCAATGGGTGTCAAGTCAGCACGCCCTGCTTACTGTCGCTGACCGAAGCACGCGTCTGGTCTCCTCGCTAGAACGGCGGCGGGCAGGGGGAGGGGGAGAGGCGGCAACCCACCCCTCTCCCCCTCCCCCTCCGTGCCGTGGCGCCGTGGCGCTGCCCGTGCGGTGCGGGTCATCCCGGTAGTTACCTGGCAACTCTTGCTTGATCTTGAGCGCCATGGCGCGGTCGCGCTCCTCCGTCCGGTCGGCGGCTGCTTCCCGCGCCGCGCGCTCGGCGGCCAGCGACAGCTCGCGCGCCCGGTATATGCTGCAACAAAGGACAAGCACGGTCAGTTAGAGACGGCCAGTCGCACAGTGGGCCAGAAGGCCGGTGGAAGCGGCACAAACGCTCGACGCGTTTTGAGCTCCAGTGTCGTTAAACGGAACTCGAAGCGAACGTGTGACCCCACCAATGGATTCCTCGTTCGGCGAGCCATCCATTGGTGGGGTCACACGTTCGGTTCGAGAGGCGAGGACGAGGGCGCCTGACGAGGCCCGGGTAGGCAACGCGGGGGCAGCCGTGCGGGCCGGGCGGCCTACCCTGGCGGCCTGGAGCGCCTGCCGAGGCCCGGGTAGGCAGCCCGCCGCGCGGCCGTGTCGCCGCGTTGCCGACCCGGACCTCGGCAGGCGCCGACGACCGCCAACTCCAAAACGCAGCGCGCCCGCGCGGCCCCTCTGTCCGTCCGGCCGGCCGGCCGGCCGCGCATTCCAGCGGGTCCTCGTCAATCCCATTTCCCGGCGCGGTGCGCGGTCAAGCATCACGTGGACGTGGACGGCGTGCACGGCGTGCACGGCCGCAGACCACAGCGCCAACAAAAGCACGCGCGGCCGGTCCGGTGCCGGTGCGCATCAGTGAGCGGCCAACAGGTGGGGGCAGGGCACGCCACGCCACGCCACGCCACGCCACGCCAGGGCCCCACATCCTGGGCGAGGGAGGGGGCCGCGCCGTGCACGTGCCCGACGTCATGCAGAGGCTGAGCGAGCACGCCGATTCCGGGAACCGGCCCAATCAATTGCGTGCGCGCACGCGATGGCCATTGGCAGGGCGCGGCGCTCTATTGGCACTCGCCGTGCGAATAGCGCGCTGGCGGCTTCATCAAGGCGGCCATCCCGCCTCTCAATAAGCCGTGTCGGCACTCCTGGGGGTCATGAGGGGGAACAGGACGGCGCCGCGCCCCATCAAGAAGGGGGGGGGGAGGGGCAGGTACAAGGGGAGGGAATCAATTCAACATCGAGACCCGCGCCTCGCCGCACCGCACCGCGCGCACAGCGGTCGTGCAAGGCCGCCTCGGCCCGACTGGCCGTCTGAATTATCGGAATCAGTCAAAGTCAAAGCGGCAGTGAGTGAGCGAGGCGCCGATACAAGCCCTTCCCACCCCGGCCCCCGCCTCCCCGCGATCCCCGATCCGAGCAGCTGTTGCTAGTCTGGTCCGAGCGCAGCGCGCCGCGCGCCAGCAGACCGAAGCAGGACATCGGTCCGGTCCGGCCCGGCCGGCCAGCGCCGGTGGTACTTGGCAAAACACCGCCCGCACAAAACGGGGTGCGATATCCCGGGGCATTTCAGTGTGCCGGCAGTCCGTCGCGTCACCCGGGCCGACGGACTCGGCGGGCCGCGCTCCGCGGTCAACGGACTGGCCGTGCGAAGCGAACCGTCCGGCCGTCCGACCAGCCAGCAGTGTGCCAGCACGCCGACGGACGGCGGGATTTCTGGTTGGTCGAGTTCGATTGTCAAATCGACTTCTCGCCACAGCGTCGCCGCGTCCGCGCCGCGTGCGCATTGGCTGCGAGCACAAGCACACGCCTTCCGGTCCGGTTTCAGAGGCGGGAGGGGGGGAGGAGGAATGAATGCAGCCTGTGCCAAAGCCAAAAGAGCGTTGGCAGTGCGCGCTTTGCAATCACGATTAAATACGTCATGCCGTGTTCAGCGTCGCGGTCGCTGTCCCGGCATCAGGCGATAAATTCGATTCGGAATACACATTACCCACACACACACACATGCAGACGGACACACACAGACGGACGGACACCCTTGCAGCCCACCTAAAGATAAATTAAGTTTCCGGCCATCTGCATACGACACCGCAGTCCGTGCCGCAGTCCGCACCGCGCGGGGGAAATATAATTACACACCCCGTCCGTCTCGTCACCTCCGCGACGTCGACGGCGACGGCGACGGCCGACGGCGGCGGACGCGACGACATAAGATTGTCATTATTACTTTTGTTGCGGCGCGGCTCGACACGGCTCGGCCTTTTGTGTGTCACCGGCAATCCGACGGTCGGTGCCATTTCGTTTTCGTTGGGGCAGCGCAGCGCAGCGCGGAGCAAACCGGAACACGTTTTTCATTTTTTTTATCCTCCTCCTCCTCCTCCTCCTTCTTCTTCTTCTTCCTCCCCGCCTCTGCCCCCTCCCCAGCCTTTGAGTGTTGCTTCCATTGAGCGGCCGCAGACAGACACGCACACACGCACACACACACACACGCTGCACCGCTCCGGCCCGTCCGAAGCGTGACGTGCCAAGTACGGCCAATACCCAGGGTCGCGCTTTGGCGCTTTGTCGTTGCAGGCCGGTATTTATAACCACAACCCCGCGGAGTGCCGTGCCGTGCCGCGCCGTGCCGCGCCGTGCGGCCCGATGCCCGATTCGGCGGAGCGGCCCGCGTCGTCGTCGCCAAAACGTTTCGCCGGAGCGCCTTGCTTCGCCTTGCCGAGCCTTTCTAATCCGATTCAGATTCACTTCCGAATCATGGAGCAGCACGCGAGCAAGGCCAGGCCCGCCTCAGGCCCGCCGGCAGACTGATTCCGTCGCCCTGTCTCTCTCGCACCCGTACGGGACGCCCCACGAGTGCGAGAGAGACAGAGCGACGAAAACGACTCTTCGGAATCAGTCTGCTGCACCGCCAATGAGGCGAAGCGAGGCGGCGCGGCGCACACAGTGTAGCGGCACCGCGAGACCGAGGCGTAATCCGCCCTGCCGGCAGATGGGCGCTAAATGGACCGAAATGCACAAAAACAAGGGGAGGGCCTCCGGAGCAGAGGAAGCGCCGCCGCCATACTGTTTCGATATTTAATGCCGCCTCGCCTTGCCTCGCCGCGGAGCGCTTCAGCTGAGGATCGGTTTGTCGCTCCGTCTCTGTCGCACTCGTGGGTCTCTCCGTGAGGGTGCGAGAGAGACAGAGCGGCCGGGCCGGCCTGCCTCCTTCCACTCCGACGTGGCCGTCGAGGAGGCCGGCACCGCTCGGCCGTGAACGAGGACCAGGGCGTCTCCAGGTGCGGCGGGGAGGGGCGGGGCGCCAAGAGGTGTCCTCGAGCAGGCACTTGGGGGCCGCGCCGTGCGCCGCGCGCCCCGACGGGGGACCGGCCCGCCCCGGTCGCCCTAATGACCATCGTGAAGGATGTGTCGCACCACAAACAAACAGCCCGGGTATAGGCGATCCTCGGCGTCCCTCCCTCGCGCCAGCCTCGCCGGGGCGATTCCGCCACCCTCTGTCTCTCTCGCTCTCGCGGGGCGGCCGCAGGGGTGCGAGAGAGACGGCGCGCCTTTGGGGCTCTCGGAATCGGCGTGCAGTTCCTCGTTGTCGGTACGCGCGTTATTTACGAGTGTTTGCATGTAGCGGGCCGCGAGTCAGCCCGCGAGTCGCTGCAACGCCGAGGCGCGCCAAGGCGGCCGCCGAGCCAACGCCGCCAACGCCAACACCGCCGAGCGTCGCAGAGCGCGCGAAACCCCGTAAAACTAAAACGCCGTACGGCCCGGGGCTGCCTGGGGTGACGTCACCCGCCGAAATGCGTCTTAATTCCTTCGGCCTCGGCGAGCTGCTTTCTATTGCAGTATCGCGGGGGGAAATCGCCATGCCCGAAACACGGGCGGGGCGGGGCGGGGCGGGGCGGGGCGGGGCGCCCAGCCGACCCCATCGGCGGCCACGCTCGCCGCGCTCCCACACCGAATTCGGTTTTACAGTGGGTAATGAGTAGCACACACGTGTGCATATCACCGCCACGGCGCGCCAGGCGGCGCGAGGCGCACCACGGCCCGGCGGGCACGCGCCGCGCCTCCTCCGCGCAGCAGCGCTGTCTCTCTCGCACCTCAACGGGACCACCCCATGAGTGCGAGAGAGACAGAGCGACGAAAACGGCTCTCGGAATCAGCCCGCAGTCCGTGTTCCCCGTGGAGCACATCAAGGGCGTCTCGATCCTCCCACGCCTACACCCGAAAAACCCGCGCGCAAAAAAACCTGACTCACCTCAGCTCCCGCTTGATCTGCTCGTAGTCCTGCTGCTCCTGCAGGCGCTGCTGCAGGCTCTGGGCCATCCTCTGCTCGGCCTCGCGCTGCTCCTCCAGCTTGGCGATCTGCTTGGCGGAGCTCTCCTGGAGCTGGCGCAGCGTGGAGCGCAGGCGTGCCGCGTCCTCCACCAGCTGGGCGATCTGCAACGAGAAGGACACGCACCGTCAGCATCGGGATGGTCATCGGCAGCCACAGTGGGTCAGAAGGCCGATGGAGGCGGTCACAATCCCGGACGCGTTTTGAGCTCCAGAGTCGCTAAACACGACTCGAACCGAGCGTGTGACCCCACCAATGGATTCCTCGTTCGGAGAGCAATCCATTGGTGGGGTCACACGTTTGGTTCGAGTCCTGCTGAGCGACTCTGGAGCCCAAAACGCGTCCAGAGTTTCGGCCGCCTGCGCCGGCCCTCCGGCCCATCGTGCATCGGCAGCCATCGAACGGCATTGGTCGGGGGGCAGTGGGGGCACCGTGGGGCGTATCGAGAGCGGCCAATGCAGTGCCGGGGCCCCCGCGGGGCGGGGCGTCGTCGCCGTCCGCGCGGCCCGCCCGCCCCACGCCCGCCACGCAGCCAGGCAGGCAGCGGCGTAGCCACGGCGTAGCCCCCCAAAGAGATGGGAGATACCGCGGCACGCACACACCTGCCGTAATCCAGTGCATCCCGAGCGCGCGTTGCCCGGCGTTGCCTGGCGGCGCGAGGCGAGGCGGGCCGTTTACACAATTCCAGTATAAATCGGCGGGGATACCATCGAGGCCCGCGGCGCTGTCCGCCTCCCACGCCGCGCGGCCCTCGACGCGCGCCGCGCTCCAGGCCGTGCCGTGCCATGCCGCGCCACGCCGCGCCACGCCGCGCCCAATATTTTTCGTGGCGTATTTGTTCTTGCGCAGGAAAGCGCGAACTCACGTCGCCGGCCCGTTGGGGCGAGTAGGCGCGGCGCAGGCGATCCATTGTAAAGGGCGGGGCGGGCGTCGTACACCTTCACGACGTCGTCGACGGCCTCCTCCCCCCCCCCCGCCAAAACTCCCGATGATTGTTGTTGGGCCGCCCCGTGTTCCCAAATAAAGCGGGGGGCCCGCGTGGGTGGAGGAAGTTGGAACGAGAGGGGGGGGGGGAGGGAGGGGGCCGACAACTGGGTGCAGATAAATTACCGTGATCGGGAGGTGGAGCCCCGCACCACGCCGCGCCACGCCACTGCGAGCGCCAAGGCGAGGCAAGTCCCCGACAACAACCCGTGCCTTATCCCCTCGCACCGCCAATCCCGCACGTAGTATCAGCGCACCGAGCGCGGCGGATTCATTTCCAGGGCGAGCCGCTGGCTGCGGACTCGTTGTACTTTTTGGGCAGCAGTTTTTCTTTTCCCTTTTTGCAGTGTGCTTCGCAGCACACTATTAGCCATGCGCGTCGCACTTACTCCTCCACTGCGAGTCCGTGCGCGCGCATAACGCCACCGCCACTAAATAGGCGCCATTGCCAATGAGAGAGAGAGAGAGAGAGAGAGAGAGAGAGAGAGAGAGAGAGAGAGAGAGAGAGAGAGAGAGAGAGAGAGAGAGAGAGAGAAGGAAAATAGAAAAAGGCTCGCGTGGAAAAGCGATTGCGCACTATAGGTAATTTGGCGCCGCGCGGTGAGACATTTGACACCTCCAGCAAGCAGCAGCAGGCGCGGTGCAGGCACTGGGTTCGCTTCGCCGCCCCGCCCCGCCACGCCCCGCCACGCCCCGAGGCCCGCCGCGTCAGCAGCCTACTCTGCAGTAATTAGTGCTGGAAAACCTCAGAGCTCGCTAGCGAGGCTCGTGGCCCATTCACGTGGCGACCGAATCGATGCAGAAAGCAGACGAAAGGGGTGCGCGCCTCCGCCGTGTCTCTCTCTCTCTCGCACTCCCGGGGGCGCCCCGTAGGGGTGCGAGAGAGACGGGGCGAGCGTCCTGGTGGAAATCGGGCCCAGACTCAATCAAGGAAAGAGTAGTCTATACCAGATCAGACGACTCTCGGGTGAAAAGTGGCGAGGGGGAGGGGGGAGGGGGGGATTAAAAGGAAAGCAACGCCTCTCCACTGCTCGGTCAGGGCAATGCCGGCAATGGCGAGCGATTGGCCCGAGATATCCAGAGAGGGCGATTCAAGGGGGGCGATCTGCATTTCTGAATTGGTCAAAGATAAAATCGGAGAAAGAGAGAGACAAAAGGAGAGGAGGCAGTGCTGGCCGACTGAGACGGACGGATGAAAGGGCACAGAGGAAGGTGCGAGAGGGAAGGGTGAAACCCAACCAGCCGGCCGCCCGCCCACGCCAGCCACGGCAGCGGGCCGCGAGCAGGCTGAGCAATAAGTACTAAGGGCGACGGACGAAACAAAAATAATTTACATAAAGTAGCCGTTGAGCAGTATCTTAATTACTGGAGGGTACAGTCTCCATACAGACTTTCATGCATACCTTATAAAAGCATATTTGCATTATTCCTTGGCCACAGGCGCGCCCGGCCGCGACCCAGCGGAAGCCACTACTACGGTACGCACTGCGCGAGTGTGTGAGTGCGCACGTGTGTGTGTGTGAGTGCGCGCGCAATAATGGCTAGAGATTGAGACACCCAGCAGCACAAATTGTGTAAGAATGCATAAAGGCCCCGGTCGGGCTGCTGGCCTGGCTGCTCGGCGCTTGGCAGGAGCAGGGCAAAAGTCTCATCCGCGCCCCGCCACGCCCCGCCATCATTACAAGGCTCACTGATTTTTCGGGCGCCATCAGTGCAAAGATTTAACGACACGGCGCGCGGCCCGGCGTTATCGAAACGGATCACCCGCGGCAAAGTGCGCCAAGGCGGGGCACGGCACGGTTCGGTTCGTCCGTCCGCGCCGCTACGCGAAGAAGATGGCGAAAAAAACGGATAAAAAATGGAGAGGGAAGAAGAAAAAAAAAGCGTGCATGTGTAAAACTGAGGGGGAATAATGAGAAACTAAAAGCGGTGCGGCCGGTGAGAATATGGCGAGTGCAAATAAGCGCCAGGAGGGCCAATAACGACCTGGCCGGCAGGCAGGCAGGCCTCTCGCGAGACTAGACTCGCGAGGTGAGGAGCAACGCCACATTGCCCGGCCAACCCGCGCGATATCGTCTTTTCTCTCTCTCTCTCTCTCTCTCTCTCTCTCTCTCTCTCTCTCTCTCTCTCTCTCTCTCTCTCCTCGATGTCCGTCCGTCCGTCTCTCTAGTATCTCCGTTCTACTCATTAAGCACGCGGGTGGGCAGGACCAGAGAGCTGATGTGAGGGGGGGGGGGGGGGGGGGAGACGCGCGCAACGCATAAAGACCAAACACATTGAACTAACTTCCTCCGTGTATATCTGATCTCTCCGCGGCCGAGAGAGAGAAAGATTCACACACGCACACTAACTCGCTCGCTCTCTCTCTCTCTCTCTCCGCGCTGGGAGGCGAAAAAGGGGTGGCCGCCCCGAGGGTGTGGTGGCAAGGGTGGTGGGGGCGGCGTGATGCGTACCGTCCACGCATCACGCGTATCCGAAAAAGACAAAGACGCGAGAGCGAGAGGGAGACAGAGAGAGAGGAGCGCGTCATCAATATTTCATAAAGTTCCATTAAAACTTAATGGCCGGCTTGAGATACGAATGCGATCGGGACCCCGTCGTACGCGGACGGCGCGGCGCCGCGGCCGGTGGATGCGAGGCTCGACGCGGAGTGGGTGGCCTGGCGGGGCGCGGCGGCCTGGTGCAAGGCGCCGGCCCATTTAAATACGGGCCATATAATAAAACAGGGAAAAAAATGATGAAAAAATGAAATAAATCGAAAATGGACTATGCAAATTGATCCGGGCTGCCGGACGGCGGGCGCGCGGCCAGTCATACACGTCACACTGTAATGTCACCCATTCTCTCATGACTTTTAAATTGGGAAAAAGAAACCGACATCGCGGCACCGCGAATTCCAAGACCTGCGCCTCTCTCGCTCGCACTCGTGGGGCGTCGGGGCGTCGAGGCCTCGGGTGCGAGAGAGACGGAGCGACAGAGCACCGCTCGGCGTGGGTCTGCAGTTGGCCGCGGCCTCACGCAAGGAACGAATCCACGAGATGCAGCCCGTCCCCCACAAGCGGGCCGTCCCCGCGGTGGACTGCCTACCCGCCAGGCGCCGCACCGCCGCCCAGCAGACTGATTTCGTCGCTCTGTCTCTCTCGCACCTAGAAGGGGTGCGAGTGCGAGAGAGACAGAGCGACGAAAACGACTCTCGGAATCAGTGTGCCGGCCGCACCTGCCCACCAGAGGGGGTGCTCGTCCCGGAGAGGAACAAGGAGGCCGTGCGGAGCGAGGGGCGCCAGTGGCGGAGGCAGGCGGCTGAGACATATCAATCTTGAATCCGAGCGCCGCGCGCCGCCAAGTTGGCTGTGTCTACATATCCCATCCCCGCGATCCTCATCACACAATGTTGATTTTAGCCGGGAGATGATCCACCCCCGCCAAAGCCACCGCCGCCGCGGAGGTGCTGGGCACACCTGGCCCGGACCGTGCCACGGTGTACCGACACGGGCTTCAAATAACATCATTGTGCGCGCCAAATACAATACTGCTGGCCGACCCACACACTGCTTCGCGCTTCGCACTGCCGCGAGTGCTGAGGCAGAGCCGATCCAAGTTTGGGCCCCCCTTCCCCCTCCCCCGCCTCGATAAGATTACTACTGGACGCGGCCACGCCGAGCCACGCCGCCTCCAGGACCTTCTCTCTCTCTCCCGCGGCCCGCTCTACTCCGCGCTCCGCCCTGCCAAATATTGAAATAGACGTACATATCGTGCGCCTCCGCATCCGGCGGTCGAACGGCCGACTTCGCCAGGCCCAGATTGGCTCATAGTCGGAGTGGGAACTGGAGAGGGAGAGAGGGGGGGGGAGAGTCTTGCGACACTACCACTCCAGCACTAACTGATCTTCATGCCGACCGAGGAAAACCATTTCCAAGCTGCCAGGCGGGGAGGGGGTAAGACAAAAGCCCACCCCAATGCCTCCAATGCCTTCCACGACCACCAACAGAGTCGATTTCCTACTCCATCGCTGCCGCCTCTACTTACAGGACGTGTATCGAAACGAGCCATCTAGATCAAGTTTCGAGAGCGAGCCAGAGAGAGAGCGAGAGAGAGCGAACACACGCGCCGAGTGAAGGGA